ATCACCCATGTTTAGTTTTCATATAAAACTTTGTACGCCTGCGAGTGATTTATTTAATTAAAAGTACATGAATTGAAAAATTTTGATAAATGGAATGTAAACGGGATGCAGTATATGCACCATTCAATAAAGAGCAGCCAACACATACATACATACATACATATGTATGTACATGCATACGGGCAAATATTTACAATATATGTGCTGGTTATTTGCGCTTTACGCGCCAGCTAAATTGATTTTTAATTAATAAACCCCTGCGCTACAGTGCAAGTATTCATTTGAAAACTAAACATAATGTACATATTACATACATGCATACATACATACATATGTAAGTATATATATATTTTATAACGTGAAAAATTAGAAAATTTACTGGGGTTCACTAAATGAATTCTGAGGTATGATTATACAAAATTTGTTAATTTTAGAAATAAACACTGAAAGAAAGAATTGTAAAAACACCAACAAACCAACAAACTAAGTTAAATTTAATCACGAAATAGGCTAACAAGTAAGGCAATGCAATGCATGCATAAAACGCCAGCTTCAGCTCCGACTCGATTTTCAGTACAAATTATTGAGCTTGAGTTTACTGTTTCAGTGCAAATATTGAGTCTGAGCTTAAGCTCATTTCTATGCATGAAGCCCAATGTGCACAAGCTTGGGAAAGGGGCGAACGAAACGAGGAAACTTTGTAGTAGATTCCTGCGAATATATGAGCCAAAAAGAACCCAATTTGAAATTTTTCGGATTCCTTTTTTAAATTTGAATGGTGACTGCACTACGCTGGGGGTTGAGATGTTGGCAAACTTTAGTTTCTTTATGTTCTATGCAACTAGTATGTACTCGTACTTTGAAAGTTGTTTTGGTATTACGAATTATAAAAAAAAAATTAAAAATTGCTAAAAAGCACTGCACAAGGAATTATGTATAATTAAAGCAGCATTTTAAGCCAAAAAATATGTACATACATTTGAAAACATTTGAGAAGTACTCTTTATGAATGGCTTTACTTCTTGATCGCACACCTTCAAAATAGTTTAATTACTTCAACTAAATATATTTTTATCAAAAAAAGTTGACCGAATCATATTTAAAATTCGGATGCGTAGCAAGTTGTACGGAAAGAACTCATACATATATGTACATAAAAAGAGCTTACTTTTTAATTTAAATGAAATTTTTGAAAGTTCCCATTTGCTGCCCTAATATTTCCGAAAGCATGGCCACAATTTTAATTTTCTGAAAAAAAAGTCTGCAATAGTTTACATACACACATACTCCTAAACAAAAAAGCTCTACGAAAGAAAGGATGCAGAGTACATATTCAGAAAGAAGTAGAGAGATTTCATCTAAAACTTTACCATTTTATTTTTATTTAAACAATTATAATGGATTCAAATGACAAATAATAGATACTCGTATGGCCAGTAATAATCTCTTTCCGTAGAAAAAAATGGAATAAACAAGTGCAAGTTCATTTATATAAAATATGTACATTAGAGTGTTCCAAAAACAGTAAAGTCGGAATTTTAATGCCGCCACCCCCTCGGATTGTTCTACATATACCGAAAAAAATAAACCCAAATATTTTGAAATCGAAAGATATTTAGGCAGTGCTCAAAGTTTTCCATGTTTTTTATAGGGGGGTACAAAATTCTTGAAAATCAATATTTTTCGATCGAAAATCTGTGGTTTTCTTCAGGAGATTCACAATAATAATACCCAATTGTTTCTTTAACCACTTTTTAATACTCAAGATTTTTTATTCGTCCTCCCATTGCATTTTCTGAGGGTTTTGGTGGACCTATAAAATATAGCTGCCATGAAAAAATGGTTAAAGAAACAATTGTGAAAAATAGTGATTTTCAAGAATTCTACATTATTTCTACGAAAAGTTGTTTTTTCCCCATATAAAATACATGGAAATTGTTTTTTATTTCCAAATAAAAAGATGGGGGGCATTAAAAATCCGACCTTATTTTTTCACGTACATTTTTGGACCACTCTAATGTTCACACATACATATATATTTTTGTCTGCTTTGAATTGAATTGAATTTAACAATAGAAAAAAACGATAATAATAACAGACAATATACATATGTACATATATACATACATATGTATCTGATTGCAAAAGTGGAGCTAATTTTTTGATCATCCATACAAAGCAAAGCGTTTTATGTACAATTTGGCATCTAATAAATACATATTTTAAGCAATACTTATGGAATCCGCCCATTGGAAAACTTAATTTAAATACATTTTTTATGTAAATAGTTTATTAGATTTTGAAAAGCCTCAAACGAGTTTTCAGCAATTACCAGCACATAGCCCCATTCTCTCGTATTCGTTATACATTTTGTCATTCTGCTCGTGGCTATACATATTGATTGTTTCATATTGAAAAAACATGAATAATACAAAGCAAAAAGAAAATCTCTTAAGAAGAATGGATTTTATTAAAAACAGAAGCCAATAGTGGTCAGTTGATTTTGTTTTTTTTTAATTATATAAGTTGGAAAAGAGAATACTTGAGGGTCTTTCTATATTAAGGTAACAATATAAGTATGTATGTACATATTTACAAAGATATGCACTTACGCATATGCATGTAAATATTGTAAATAGACTAGCTANCATATTTACAAAGATATGCACTTACGCATATGCATGTAAATATGTAAATAGACATAGACTAGCTTGCCTACTCACCCAAATGCTTCCAGATGTGATTCTCAAACTGCGGACTCCAGCGGTGCAAACCATTTATGCTAATTGATAAAAAGTCCATTTGTTGCGTTGCATGCAATTCCCCTGGGAGTTGTTGTTGTTGCTGCTGTTGTTGCCCAGTTACCAATTTACCAAAAACAATTAACTCGGTTGGAAGAATTTTCAAAAGATTTCCATCGAAGCATGACAGAGGTTGCAGCGTTGCATTCAACTGGCTGTTGAATTTTAATTGAATGTTTGTTGTTGTTCATTGTTGATTTTTGTAGCGTGCAAGGTATGTCGAAAAAAAAATAAACTTAAGTTTTTACCACGAAGCTTATGTGGGATGTGAGCCTTGTTTATAGTAAATATGTAAACATTTTAATAATTACTTAAAAATATTTATGTTGAACCAAAGTCTAGAGTTAAAGCCTTTTTTAATTTACTTATATTATTTAAAATATTTAGATATTTTTTGGTGAAATAAAGTAATACTGTTACATACAGACAGTGTCAAAAGTTAGTGTACACCTTGTTCTAATATAATAATCACAATTATTTTCATGACAAATTTGTTTCTATAATATAAACCTTATATATCAAAGTTCACAAAAATTCCAATGTTCAAATATTCATCAAAATTTTACACTTTTTATTCAGAATTTCTGGAAAATTTTCGAGTATGCAAGTTGTAATTTTAGTAAAAGAAAGCCTAAGTTTCAAGTCGCTTAAAATTACCGTTCGTTTTTTTTTTGCGGAGGGTGTTGCGCATTTTCTTTCATATAAAAATAGATTCTGATCATGAAAATTATAAAACCTAACGGTAATTTTAAGCGACTTGAAACTTGCACTTTATTTTACTAAAATTGAACGGACTACATAACTGCATACTAGAAATTTTGAATAAAAATTTTAAAATTTTGACGCAATTTTTTTTTGTAATCTTTGTGAACTTTATATAAAGTGTGAAACTTTGATTTGTAAGGTTTATGTTATTGAATAAACCATATTTTTTATAAATAACACAGGTTTACAAAAAAAAACAAAAGTTTCTGCATATTGGATCAAACCTTTATATTCCTATGTTATTCGACGCGCTGGATGCGAATCCGAAGTCTATTAGCCCCCATGACGTCAGGTTCGAGGTAATTTGAAAGTCAAGTAGAGAAAAATCCAATTGATAAAGTTGAAAATTCATGTTCGAGGTCATTTGAGGGTCAAATGGGACAAAAAAATTATTTAATATTTTCTTTTTTATATCGCTGAATCCGAATATGAGGGTCCCTTGATTCCTTAAGGTCATCTACATAGAAGTCATGCCGGTGGCATTGCAAGGTCGAATTCAGAAGACCTTCAAATGACCTCGAACTTGACGTGATGGAGCCTAATAACATAGGGATATAAAGGTGTGGTTCAATATGTAAATCCGTGTAATTAATGAAAAAAATATTTCATGAAAATAATTGTGAATATTATGCTGACTACACACGTGGCAACCGTTGAAGCAAAGCGTTGAGGCAACCTGATGTTCTTGTTTAATGCACACGTGGCAACCGTTAGTATTTGCCCTGTTATGAAATGAACATGCGGAAGAAAATTTGTTTTCTACCAAAACACCTTTTCAGCTCACTTGTTTTCAATGAACTAAGTCAATAAATTCAATACACAACGATACACATGAGGCAACCGACACGGCAACCAATACAAATTATCAAAATATTTTAATTTTCTGGCAACGGTTGCGCAACACGAATTTCTATGAACAACATTCCTACAGACAAGGCAACGGTCGAAGCAACATGCCTTGGTTGTCTCAACGGTTGCCTCGTGTGCAGTCAGCATTACATTAGAAAAATGTGTACACTAACAATTGATACTGACTGTACATATGTATGAATATACTATATAAGTATGTACATACATATGTGTTCGAGTGCTATTTTACACTCAATTGCAATTAAATGCGAAATGTCATAAATAATGCTGACTTTTGGCGAAGTCGGAAGCTCATGCTGATATACATGCATACATATGTATGTACATACGAATGTATGGATTAATCAGGTTTACACGGGCATACAAGTACATACATACATACAAGCACACAACACAGCAGAAGTGCATCGTTAATTGCGTTGATTAAATGTAATTAATTCATTACACTTAAAAACAATGTTATGCGGCCTCTAGGCACGCAACCGGCATTGTTGATGCTCAGCACAAATGTATATGTATACCCAGTGGGAAAATGTAATGTATGTTAATCGAAAAAATTATCAGTAAAAACCCGTTTTCAGATTCGAAAATGCATTTTTTTTTCCTTATGACGATGTCCTATGAAAAGCCTTACCTAGTAATTGAGGAATGTATGCGACTTAACATACATTTTTTTGGAACTTGTTTCATACATTAGACTGTTGATTACATATTAATCAGTAATAGAATCTTAAACCTGTAAGAAAAGCATTACAATATTTATCACACATGTAATGCATTACTACTTTTCTCACAGGGCACGTTTGCATGATCATGCCTTTCTGCATGTATCTGCTTGTCTGTAGGCCTTGCAGGGAAAATAGCACTTTCTCAGTGGCACACTTTAAGTGAAATCCGAATACGATTTATTCTGTTTGAACGAAGTTTTTGGCATTATACTAAAAAAGAAACTTTATTTATTTGCCTCAATCAACATTTTTTAAAGCGGTATAGGCGATAGGCGATGCGTCTCGCGGTGCTTAAGGAGACAAAGCTCAATGTGTTTATCAAATTTGGTCGAGATCGGTCAAGTAGTTTTTGAGATACGCATATTTATATAACAATTTTGAGTATGTAAATATTGATGATCCCCTTAACCACACTGCTCAAAAAATCTGCCGACAATTTTTATGCAATTGCATTGGATGTGGTATCAATTTATTCACAAGTAAATGTTATTTTAGATAAATGCCACATATTTGGAAAGTTGCATAGACATTTTTGAAATTAGCGATGATCAAAGTTCAAAAATGAAGAAAAATAGGGGCTCATTAAAATTTAACCGATGAAAACTCCCAACAAGCTAAGTCTAACAACCCTGAACAATGTGGCACTAGGTTAAACACTAGTATAGGACCACGCTACATTGTAACCAACACTAGCAACCAAAACGGTCAAAACATATGGAGAAAATACGGTTGCATTAACATTGCGATGTCATTGAACCTGACCACCTCTGGTCCAACGCATTAACATGGGACCACCAAGACAACTACTCCTTTTGGACCATGCACTGAATTTCATAAGATTTTGTATAAACTGAATATTTGATAATTTTTCAAGGTGATTTTTAAATTTAAATAGCAAAATCTATTTAATATTTAAAATTAAGAGGTGGTGTTCAACACATATATCAGTTTTTTACGTTTGAAGTGGTCCAGGTCAGCATAACAAGTTACTAGTACGCAACCTGGGCCTTTAAAACTACGTCCCAGTGGACCACCTGATCCTCAAATTTTTGCAGGGCTATTATTATATATACATCGTTTTAAAGGTCTAATAATCCTCCCTTCAAAACTTATTCGATTTTTAAAATCGGATGGAAAATAGTCGAGCTATTAATAGATAAGTGCATCAACTACGAAAATAACGGGCTTTTGGCATACACAAAATGGAGGGTTAAGGAACTATACGGTACCTATTTCCATGTTGTACTCGACCATACCTACAATCTACACTCGGTTTTGTTTCGGGTGTATTTCATGACTTTTTTTTTTGTAGCACCGTGTTATCGGCTCATTTGCAGGAAATGCGATGTTTTATGGTTAATTTGTAAATGTTGATTGCGGAAAGTAGGCGAGAGAGGCACTCCAATGAGGCGTTTCCCTTTTACGCAATTAATTATGTTGAAGTGCTGAAATATGTAGCATAAATACACTGCGTGTGGCTGCGTGAGTGTGGTGGAGCATTTGTTTGGTCAGCTTCGCACAGCTGGTTCAGAAAAGGAAAAGTGCTTTTTAATTGCACTTGTAACTTGCTGCACAAAAAATACTGACACACACACACACACACAAGCATTCCCATAACTGCTGCTATGTTTGTATGTACATTGTGTATTTATGTACAATGCATGCGCGCTTGCCGGCTACACATACATAGTTGACGAAGTTTGCAAATTGTTAACCTCTTTTAAATTAAATTGTCACTTTTCTCCATTCCAATTCACACACAAACACGCAACCGCACACACAACAATAGGCGCACGAGCGATTCGCCTTGTCGGCAACTATGCCAGCTGCCAGTCTTCTGAGCACCGTACTTCATTCAACCAGTTGCACAAAGTTGCAAGGCACAGGACAGATTTCAACATAACTAAAT